TAATAAATCTATTTGTTCGTTAGTTTAAATTTACTTTTCTCTGTCGTCGTAAAACATATAAAGGATATTCATCTGGTTCTAATATTCGATCTGTATAATTAGCACTTGATATAAGTAAAACTTCGACCAGCGAATATTTTTCAGCATTTACATTTGTTAAACCAAAATTAGATAAAGCTTTAGCAATAACTTCTGATGTTGTACTTGATGATGTTACTTTAATTTCTTTAAAACAATCATGAGTTCTTTGAATAGATAAAAACAAAAACAAAAAAATAGAAATTTTTTATTTAACATAAAAAATTTAAACATACTTAATAATGCCAGGATAAACTCGAACATAATCAAAATCCATATCACCACGTTCTTTATATCGTATATATATATTAAGTGTACGACCGGATAATTGTTTAAGAGATTTTAATGGTGTTGTTTCATCAAGTGGTTGATCACCACCGGCTATACAGACGAAAAATAAAATACATTTTTTTTTGTTTCTTAAATTTTCTATACCTTCATCTGTAGGTACAGTAATGCAATATTTTGTGCAATCATCATTGATATGGAATGTGCGGAGTGCGGCCTCCTGCAAAGAAAATTTTTTTTGTTTTTATTATAAAAAATAAATGATGAGATAGAGAAATAATATACCAGAATTTGGGTGTAACTCGCTTGTTTAGGAACGGAGATTGAACGGGGATTACCATTACGATATGTTGCATTACCATCGTAAACTTTGATTATTTCTAAGAAAAAGAAAAAAACGATTAATGTTGAATTAAATGAATATTGAATTTATTTTTTATAAAAAAAAAAAAAAAAAAAACTGAGGAAACTAATCGAAATGATTTAGTATTCTTGAAATATACAACATTTAAAAATCAAAAAATCTTTTTTTGACTATACGATAGATTCGAGTCAGAGATCCGTGAGATAAACTCACGCATGGATGCCTCGTACATCTCTTTCGTATTTTGCTCTGTGAACCTGTTTCACCAGGGTTAATTCGTTTGAATACTTTTTTTTCGTGTTATTCTAATCTAAAAATCTTCTCTCTAAAGATTTAAAATATAAACTTAAGAGTAATGAATCACTTCAAATGGTTCTCACAGTATCACACACACACACACACCTCTAATCATAGAACATTTTCATTTTTCTTCAACGGAACTGGAAATATTTCTTGCGTTCTGTGAGAGAAACAAAAAAACACATTCCCTATTTATCTCAAAAAACAAGTACGATATCTCTTCAAAGTATGTTGCCTCGGGGCCAACCCTAGAGTTATGGATTCAAAATAAACAAAAAACAGTCTGAATAAATTTCTATGTATGTTGATAAGGAAAATGTTTACATTTTTTTTTTTTTGTCTTTGTATTATAATATTAAAATTGAAAAAACAAGAATTTGTTTTATTCTAATTACCTCGTTCTTCTTCTTCATCTTGTTGACCTTTATTTTGTATTTTATCTCGTCTTGGTTTACTAGACGTTGATGTTGCACTTTCCATTTGTACATTTGAAGTTGAAAATGTTTCTCCACATCCTCGACTACGAGGATCTTTTTCAATATAAATAGGTCCTGTTTCAGGATCACCACCAGATGGATGTTCTGTTGATGAACTTCTTACTATAAAAAAAAGAACAAAGGAATTATTTTAATAATTATTATTTCTTTATATGTAAAAGGATAGATAGATAGATTATGAATAAATTCTAGATTCATGCAGGCATTTAAATAAATAATAACAATAACAAGCAAATAGAATAAAACGTGCTAAACATTGGATTTATCTAGATTGTTAATGGTACCCCTATGAATGGGTCGTTGTAATGTTAATTGATTCGATATTGTTGAGAAAGTTTTTTTTCTTGGTAAAACAAATGATGATTGTCGTTGTAGACGTTGAACAATCGATGGTTTTGATGAATCAGGTGCTATAAGAATATATTTCGAGGTGCAAGGAAAATAAACATTCATATATATATATAAATATTTGTGAAAAAGGGATTAAAAACAACATGACAACAATCAAAATAAAATAAAATGTGATATTTCTTTTTTTATTTTTTATTTTTTCTACTTACTAATTAATCCAGAATTTTTTGAATCAGTTGTACTTGATGAACCAACAATAACATAATCTGATGCTTGTGGAATAGAATTATTATTTGAAGCAGTTTGTATTGGTTTTGACATATTATTTCCAATACCTAATATAAGATCTTTATTAAGATCAACTATACGTGGAATTGATATAGCATATGGTGGGATTATTATATCTCTTAATGTACCAAAACCACATTCTTCTGGTATACGTGAACGACAAGTACTATGTGTCTGAATTAATAATAAGAAAAAACAAACAAAAATATTAAAATTTTTTAAAATTAAATCTTAATAAATACATACTGTTATTCCACACCATTCACATCGCATACCAGCAAGACATTCACTTGACCAACATGTTTTTCGACATACGGCACATTTTGAATTTGTTGGCAAATTTCCTTCACGCCAATGATGATAATGTCGTACGGATGTTGTTGACTAGAAAACAAAAGGAAAAAAGATTCGTAATTAATAACTAATCAATTTATTATATGTTGGAAATATTTCTCCGTTAAATCTTAAGAATTGTACATAAACTCTTCTATACAATTGATTTATTTGTCTACTAAAGGTAAGAATCATCGATAATAGAAAATTTTCTTTATTTGTAATTTTACAAAATGAAACACAATACAGTGTCTATCAAAATTATTCGATAAGATTTATTTCTTTAAAATTTGAAAGAATCCAAACAATGGTTTAGCTAGAGAAAACTATTTAAAACAAGATTTTCATAAAACCGAAAATCTACTTTTTCAGAGTCTAGAGAGCATGGAACTACAATTTTGTTCAGATTAAGTAGAAGGATAGAACAAATGATTTTCTACAAATTAAGACGTCTCCAAAGTCTCTACAACTTTTTTTTTAACTAACCAGGGAACCTCTCCAGATGTTAAAACACTTTTCGATTGAGATCATGTTTATTAGAAAATTCTAAAATGGTTTGATTTTCTGGACTTTCATTCTGAGAATATCGAAATTTTACTGAATTTTTCACCGAAAAGCTGTGACCACGTAAATACGTTAACTAAACAATGTCGTAGAGAACTTGGAGACATGTCATTGTGTAGAACATCATTTATACTATCATTCTACGTGATCTACACACAACGATAGTTCTGTATTCTAGGTATTGAAAAACTAGGCTTTTGATTTTTTGGAGACTATCTTTAGGGATCAGCTCATCGTTTTTCTTTCTTATAAATAATTTTCTTCTTTAAAATCACTAATTGAATTGTTTTAATAGATACGATAAATAGAAGTTCGCTCGATCTTAGATAAATGAATACATAGAATTTTCATTAAACTGAAAAGTACTAGATCAATATTTTGAAATAGGCAAAAAAAAAAAAGTTCATTTGTTTTTTTCTTTTTATAAATCATAATAAATTTTTATTATTTACATTATCTCTTGTTGGTACATAAGTCGCTGTTTCACGACAATCATTAACAGCGAAATCTTTGCAATCTTCATGTGCATAATATTCGCATACTAAAATAAAAATGAATTTTTTATTTAAATTCAAAACAAAAACAAAAAAAAAGAAAAATATCAAACATATGTTAGTCATTAATTTAATTATTAGTTTAATCAATCATGTTTTTTTTTTTGGTTTTACCTGAGTTTTAATATAATTTTTTTCTCTGAACACAATACAATACACAACAATACAAATAGAAAAAAATGTTTTTTTTCTTTACCTTCACATCGTACAGCTGAAAAATCTTCAAGTCGTTTTCGACATATATTGCAAAATTTACGTTTAAACCGGGATATATCCGACCATATATGACACACGGGATTCTATAAAAATTACAAAGAAAAACAAATTTTAAAAAGGGCAAATTGTTGTTTTGTTTTCTTTTTATACTTTTATAAGTATAGGTGCAATGCTTGAGCATGGCGATATGACATATTTTCGACAACGATCATGACAAATAAAATTGCATACTTTATAAAAAAAAAATTCATGAATAAAAATATTCAAAAAAAAACTGTTTTTTTTTTTTCTTTTTTTTTACCTTCGCAATAATATCCTTGTCCAATTAGGCCCCATAACATTTCGACACAATGATGACAATATGTTGGTTTATGAAATGTTTTTTTAACAAAAAAATGTCCATAATTGTCATTTGGTTGTTGATTTGTATATGTACAATCAGTATTTAATGATAATGATGACGGTGGTTTATTCATTGTTGTTGGTGGTGGTTCATCAGAAAAAGCTGAATCGCCGTTATCACCGCTGATAGTTGATGGATGATACCAAGGAGATGGCGACGAACTCATCATCAATTGATCTTGGTATGTTGAAGTGCATACAGATGACGTTTTATTAATGAGTATAGTTGAATTATTAGAATAAAAATACGAATATTTTATTTATTGATGATTATGCCGATATTGGCCATTAAAATAGACGACGTCGTCGACGCATTGTCGATCTTAAAATAAATGAAAAAAAAGTAATTAAATAAAAATATGAAAAAAAATATGAAGAAAAGTTTTAGTTTTTTTTTCTATGATGTATTCGATGTGTTTATTTGTTTGTCGGAAATTTTCTCCGAATCGACATCATCAACGGCCATGATGAATCTTAAGATAATGTGAAACTCTACTCAAGATGTTCTTCGAGAGTTTTATGTTTATTTGTCATTAGAAAAAAATAAAATTTTTAAATCAAAGAAAAAGAAATAAAAATAAATTTTTATTATTTTAATATATAGATTCAAGAATTTGAATGTTTGATGTTTTTTGTTTATAGATGTCACTAGAATAGATTTTTAGGAACATATTATTTTAGTTTTTTCTTTTTCGAGAAACTATGTATGAAATTAATCATTAATAATAAATTAATAAACTCGAAGTGAAATATATAAGCAATAGACATTTTTTTTTTGTTTAAATAACTATATATATAATCATGGCAAGGCTAATCGATAAATGAAATTGAATTTATTGATCATTAGAAATATCGATAAAAAAAAAAGAGTTTGTCTGTCACTAACAAATAACATATGTCATAGAAATAATACGTAGTCTGAAGACATAAAGTAGAGTAAGATTTTGTTAATCATTTCCATAAATATGTATTCTCAAGTTATATCTAGTTGAGTCAAAGATACAACGAAATAAAAATGGCAATCAACTGATAAATGTTGATCAGAGAGATGAGTTGTTAGAAATTTAATAATAGAGAAGCTGTTTTCAATATAATGATTATAATCAGTAATGAATACAATAATAAATTCGGATTTCGAAGAGCCATATGATTTAAATATGACAAATCAGTTTGTGCAAGAAAATCAATGAGAACGAACTATTATAATTTCATATCCGTTCATAGTTTATAAATAAGAACATCTTCATAACGAAGATCATCTTAATAATTTTCATGTTTTAATGAAAAGTTTTTCTATAAGATCATCCATATTCTATGATTATTCGATCTGTCAACTATGAATTGATATTCAAAAAAGATGAATTATCATTTATATATCATTGATTACTTTGAACATTCAACTAGTAATATCTATCCTGTTGAAATCAAATGAGTATGTAACAGATATTTTATTTATTTATTTGAAATGATTTGGATTTTGCCGATCTCTCTCTAAGATAACAACAAAATATCGAAATGTAAGATGGCGCTATTTTAATAAACTGATTTCATTTGATTAGAAGATTTTTCAATGACAATTAATCTCGATTAATAATAAACTTTTCAAAATTATGAATAAATTTCATCTGAAATGCATAAACGGATACAGATTCGTAATGAGTCATTTCTCAATGAAAATATTTTGATTGGTGTAAATATTTTTTTTTTTTT